CTTAAACTCGATTACGTTTACGACGTTATTATGATGTATATATTATTATAATACATAGGTATAAAGCGTGTAAACATGCCATATTAGTCCACTAGTACCCCGTTCTTAACGCCATCTTCTTTGTACACGTACTACTTACTTAAAAATATTATAATATTTTTTACACTTCGATGATTTGTGTTTTATCGATTTGCGCTTTTTATATAGGGTCTCCATTAACGGCGGCAATTTGTTTAGAGGGGTGCGTGTATTTGAAGGGGTAAAGCCTTGTAGGGTTTAAGGAGAGGTTGTGCAGATATACAATTGACGGTAAAACGGCAACTGGCTACCGATTGCTTACGTGTGATAAGAAGTGATTTTTTAGGTGGTGGGGCGAGTAAATTGGTGGACTATGACGCAGACCGACACGCAACAACGGACCTGACGAATTCCGGTGAATGTTATTTGTTAAAGGTGGTGGGAAAAATATGCGTAAAAATATTATTATTATAATTATAATATAAATCTAATTTAAAATGATAGATATATTAAAGATTAAAAAGTATAGAAATAAAATGTGATAGCCTATTTTTTAAGTTGTTTTCTTGCTGGTGGTTATCGGCCGGCGCGGCGTACTGGTTATGCAATTTTGCTACACTTAAGAATTCTTTCGCTGCGCACTGGCGAAAATAATATACTTTACCGTTAAAGTTTTATAATAATCTTTAACGGAGTTGGTGATAATATCATAAATATTATATCTTATATATTTAATAAACAGTTGAAAATAATTTAATAATTTAATATTGTTATACGTTTTTCTTTGCTTTTATATTACTTTTTTTTTGATACTATTCCGATTTTAATACAAACTTTTTAAAATATTGGTTCTACTCAATTTGTTCATATAAAATAATTTTAGCATTTAACTGAATAAACAATTATAAAATAATATCTGGATAAATTCAATTATTTCATAGTTTTTGTATTTATTATGTTATATTACATTGTATTATTATTTAGTCATATTCATTTTAAATTCCTAATTCATTTTTGTAAGAAATTAAAAAAAAAAAATTATTATACTCGTATAATCAATTATAAATAAATAAATAAATTTGAAAGATTTGTCATACTTATATGAAAAATGTATTGTTGATTTTTTTTAATTTAATTTTAAAATCGTTAGAAAAAATTTAAAAAACTTAAAAATAATTTTAAAGAGCAAGTTTAATAATACTGTTGATTATAACTAAATATCTAATATATAATCAGATAGATAATAACACAAAAAATAAAATACTAATGACTTATAAGTTATTAACTTTCATAGTGTATAATAATATCAATAATATATAATATACATTTCGTTTGTGGTAAAAATTAGTTTAACCTATTTCATGTATTTATATAGTATTATTATTTTACAAACGTAGAGATATATCGTACAATATCATACATTTAACATAACCTTTATTAAATTCACCTTTTCATTATACAATACATTCAACACCTGGTATACAGTAAAGTGCTTGATTTATTTTAATAATGTTACACTTATTAATGTGATACGAGTTTTGAAATAATATTCATAAAATTAAAACTAATTATCACTCATATGATGTACTAGACTACCATATTATATAAACCATAAATTGTAAATAATATTACGTGAATAATAAATATTTATGTTATATTTATAACAATATTAACCCAAGTATTTAAGGTTAATGAAAAAAAAAAATATGCTGTTCTAAAAACAAATTTTAATTTGTTATTGTACAGAATAATTACTTTTTCAAAAATCCGTTGTGCTGAAGTAATCAATATATTAAAATATTTAGATACCTTTATTTAAAATTATATACGAAAAAATTGACTTGTAAATGCTTTTTATTTATAATAACAAATGGGAGTGAATGTAGAATAGCAATTGAAAAATGCGATAACATTTAACTTGACCTGAAGCACATGCAATATAATACGTGACGATGAATCACGAAGGTATTGTAATATAAAAAAAAAAAATGCTTATATGGATGTATTCAATACGCTAGAAAAACTTGGACAATTTTGTAAGTAAAAATAAATTTAAATTTATGAAACTCGGAAGCTGTGTATTTGTTTCATAATTTAAAATTAATACCCTAATACAATTTTGTCTACTTAAAATTCTATAAAAAATTTTGAGTCAATCGGTTTATTTTTCTAATTTATTATGTGAATAATGTTTAGACAGTTATTCAAAAATCAACAATAACCTAGAAATAAGGTCAACAAGCCTAACATTTTAAATACTTTTATGAAATTAAAATCTGATATTTCTATGATGTAAGATTGATTTTATATTTTTTTTTTTTAAATGTCTTTAGTTACTTGTAGTACCAATATAAATCTTTTTTTTTTATTTTTATTTCTGTGATATTTGCTTATTTTCCAAATATATGAAAAGTACTGAGTTCACAAATAAATTATAATATATTCCTTTTAACAATAGTAGTGACCTACACATACGTTAAGACAGATTTATATGGAATACTTTAAACTAAAGATGAACTTATCTTAAAATAAATAGTTATAAAATACTTAAAAGTTTAAATCTTTTATAAACAAAAATAATACTTATGTTATTGTCAAAGTAAAATTTCTATAGATGATGGTACGTTTCATTAGATGGTATTAACAATAACTAGAGATTATTCTCATCAAAATCTGAAAATACGTATAAGTATTGTTTTGGGTATCTCGTAAAGAAAAAAAAATGTACCTGCGTCTAAATGCAAAATAAAATAAATTTGAGGTATTTTTATGGTTTTTTTTTTTTTTTTTTTTTAAGTATTGAATGTATTAATTAAAAATATGACAACCGTCGTTTTTTAACAATATTAATTATTATATTATGTATCATGTTTATAATAAGAAAATCGAAAAGAACCTATGCACAAAATTCACTAGTGATGTTTAATAATATAACTTTCAGCGTTTTCCTAAACAGATATATCAAAACAATGTTCAAGGGCATAATATATAACAATAACGATATAATTTAGCCGAAGCCATGTAATATACCGATTCGTATTTTGTACAGACATTATTAACCGATCTATTGATACGTTTACTTCTACACATATATGTGTAATGTTGTATATATACATTATATTGCATTCGTGTACAACTTACTGGACATGTTTGTTTCGACCCTATTTAAACGGTAACGTTGCGGAGGGTAAGAATATTGCAGAACTATGGCTATAGTACATTGTACATATCGGTTGTTTAATATTTTCCCGCACCAATAGGAAATATACCGCGGTATGTCAATTGAATAACATTTGTGTTATATGTTACCGACCACTCATATCACAACATCTTATAAATGCTAAACTATTTAAATGGAAGGTGCTGAATATCACTCCATATTGCATGTCTAGATTACAATCCAAAATAGTAGAATACACGTACAGTGGAAATTTATCTTTTATTAAAATTCTATTCAATGAAAGTTTACTGGATTTTAATATTATCATTTTTGATCAATCATTTTTCTCGTTATTTTTATTTAAACTAAAATAAGTAAATAATTATGAATTTCTGTTAGAACGACAATATTTATAAATAATTCTGTAACGTTTTAAAATACTGGCTCAATTACCCAATATTTATAGATACGATCTAAATCAGAGACTGTAAACCTATTTTTAGTTGTTCGTCAAATAAATACCATATTTTTTTTTTCACCAGTTTTTCATTAAGCAAAGTTAACATTTATGAAAAGAAATATTATACATCGTACCTTTCTCCGATACACGCTGCTTAAAGTAGCTAAATATAGATATACTCGTATAAACAAGAATAAAACAAAATGTTATAAATTAAAACTCATCAGATACTAAAGATAATATTATTAAACTTAGTTCATTAAATGTTGTTCGTGTCATAGATTTACCATTTATCTAGCTCTAAATATTTGTCCCACCGTTACCTACACACAATGGTCATAATCAATATTATACGGTATTATATCATATTATTGGTGTAGAACTGGGTGTATATGATCCGGTCGACACTGAACGGGTTTGTCATATATTGACTAAGCCAATGTGTTTTCAATCGGTTTCTATTAAACGACTGTGTTGGTGAAATCGCATAATGGGTTCCGGTACAATGATTTTTTTCCTCCCATTCAATGCATATATATATATATATATATAAATGCGCGCGTGTGTGTGATTCGCGTGCCATTTTATCAATTTTTTTTTATTTATTTATTTATTTGCTCAATTCTGACCCCGTGCAAGAACGACAACTGGAATTCGTTATTACGGTCCATTGGTTTCCCTTATTCCCGCACCACTGCAGCGCAGTATATAATATAATATACACCTCATCTCTCTCACGCGAACCTTAGTCCACACGTCCCATCCAGCTTGCATCTCTCCATCGAGCCCTCATCACTATATACGTCTACGAACTACCCTGAAATGGAGAACGCTTATATTGCTGCCAACAAGAATAACCACAATCGAAATTTCCAACGAGTTAATTGCTGGGGTTTTCGACTCGAGTGGCAATGCGAGCGAATCGCGTACGAAAAAACGAATTAAATCGTTGAGACCAATTTTGACATGTCACCGCCGCACAGTAGGAAATACGAAGAAAAAAAAATAAAAACATTTCTTACTCGTTGTGAGTTAATTGCTAAGCCAATTTATTTAATTTCGGCTTGTATTTTAATAATTATATGAAAACATGTAATAAAAATAATTCAATTATTCTACTATGCAGAAAATAAGACTAAAATTACTTTGGGGATAATTAAATGTATTATATATATAGAATAATTTAATACGTCATACACAGCTATTGAGATATGAAGACTTTACAATAATATTAAATACTAATTGAATTGAAATCAGAAAATGATTTTGTTTGTACATATTTGATGATTATTTATTTATTAACATAAATAAAGTTACAAATAATAATACATTTAAAAGAAATTATTTTTTATTATGTTACAGGTTCGTCACCAATAATAATATAACAATACGTGTAAAATATTGACACCACGAAGTTATCGACAAGTCGTGAATATACTGAATATGTACGTATTTAATATTATTTAGTTTTAAATAAATATCAGAATAATTATAGACTTTTAAACTTTATTTTATAAGTTTTAGTTTACAATTATCAATATACTAAATTATATTTAAATATAAAAAAATGCGCAGTTTAAATTTTATCAAATTCTATGAGCTATATAAAACTATATAATTGATTTTTATTAGTAACCTACTTGTTAGGTAATGATTCAGACCCTGAATTTCTTAAATTTTACTCACAATATGACCAATTTTTTTATCAGCAATAGTTTAATAAAAGAGAAATTTAAGCTGAGTACAAAATGTTTTCGGTTTTGATTTTGTTGCTGCAGATTCGCATGCAGTAACATGTTTTTCATAGCAAAATCATGATGTGGGTTTATCCAAGCTATGGTTATATTTAAAACCTGTCGTAATACAAATTGTTCATTCACATTCATGAACAGATTCAAATTCCATCATTCAATGATACTTCCGATAGTAATACGAAACCATGATGAAATTATGGAGGGGGCTGTTGTAGTATTCTATAAATTAGGTATAACATTTTGATAATTTAGAACTAAATGTAAATACGTAAGTGTGTATGTGTGCGTGTGTGTGTGTGTGTATGTATTTTTTATTTTGTTAGTTTTGAAAACAGAATAAGTATTTGATAAAATGTTACGATTTTAAAAAAATGGTGGTGATTATCATAGGTATTTGCAATATTTTTCGAGTACTTATATAATCATTTTTTATTTAACAGGTAGAAATACTTGAAAACTTATCACAAAGCTCCATAAAAGTTGTTTATTTTTTAGTGAAAAATTATCTGTAGTTACAATTTTTTTTTTAAGCGTTTAAAGTTAGAATTTTGACAAAATCTCTAAAATATAAATTTTTTTCTTATCTTGTGAAAATTTAATATCACGAATAATACGTATAACAATATAATACAGAGGCTAAGTACTAATTAGTAATTTGTACTAGTTGAAGACAATTTTATAGTTCCAACTCATTTTGACCAATCATTTATATAATATTATTCTCTAAATATTTACAATGAAAACAATTATCAATTTAAAATTAGATATTAATATTTAATAGTACTGGAAAATTAATTTTTTTATATGTAATTTTTGTTATCCAACACAAATTTTTATGTAATTATTGTTTTTCTTTATAGACAATTCTTAAGTTGATGAAATGTTTACTCAACTAACTTCATTTGGTTTAAAGTTTTTAACTATGATAATATATATTTTATATTATGTATTTATCATAATTTCGTTTTTATAATCAAATTATTGATAATAATTTTGACTGGTTTGTATTATCTATAGTTTACTTAATTTATATTAATGTTTAATTTTATCCATAAGTTGCTAGATAAAAACTGTTATGTAGCTGCAGGAAATGCTTTTATGTAATTTATGATAATTAGGTTACTATAATTTACCTATGTATTAAATTTAAATTTGATAGAAAAAACTTGTTCATTTTAGTCTTAAAAAAAATATTATAATATTATGTTACATTTTTTAAATTTTATTCGGTAAATTTTTATTGTGGTATTTTACAATGGATATTCATTTAGCGATTGAATAATTTCAGTTTTAAACACAGTAGTATACATCTGCCTTAATATACCAGTAGTATATCCATAATATATTTGAACATAATATGGTACGCCTTGGGCTAATGTTTACACATTATGTGTACATAATCTCTTCATCAAATGGGATAATTATGTTTGCAATATAGAAGTATCATTACGTCTCAGTGTTTGATCAGCTAATGTCAGATATATACATAGACTAGAACGATCATTGACTGACAATATTATATTATTTTATGTATAATACATATTTTACATAAATTTGTGAAGTACGTGTAGGGATAGATGCATTCTCTCTATGTCTGTATATATATTTATACATTATAGTTTTTACATTTTTTCTCGAGACTGATTTGAAATATAATTAATAAGATAAATGTTGGTTTTATATTATTGATTATAAAGTCGTGACAAAGATTTAAGGTTTAAATTTTAAATAAATGTTTAATTTTTAAATTACGAAGTTTATACTATAGTACTACTATTTTAAATGTACTCACATAATTTACTTTCAAGACTATTTATATATACCTACTGTATGATCAAAATTTTATTTATCTACTTAAGTTAGAAAATCGCATTAATTTTCTGTTTATTGTTATAGATTTAAAGTCTAAATTCTCATCCATAATGCAATGAGTATTATTATGAGTATTAATTATTACTTCTAATAAAAAATGTAGATCTCTTAACATGCATGCACGTACGAGTTTTATGGTAAAGTTAGTTTTCACTTAATTAGAACAGAAAAAAATGTCGTCGTTGTAAAATTTAGAAACAAACACTGTTCAGCATACAATGTTAGTGATGAAGTAAAATTAGTACAATGTACTCACTTTATAAGTCTATAATTATTCAATATATTATTTTTTATATACTCTATTCTTTCTATTATTCAGATATTTTAATAGTATATTTTGGATCAAAATATATTTGTTTGCTTGCAAAATCAAATATATCAGATATTATGTATACGAATATAGTAAATATCTAATACAAACATATTATGTTTATATTGTATATAATATAATGTAGATATTAAATATATTATACATGTATAAAAATATACTATGTACATTAATTAAAGATAGATTAATAAAATACTGCATGTGGTTTGAAAATATAGTAACTAAATAAGTTTAATTTAATACTTAATGAACTTATTAAAGTTAATAATTTCATCAAGTTTTGTAATATTTAAACTTTGAAACTGTAGTCAAATTTTATATATTTAAACAAATAACAAACATTCAATGAGTTCGTTGTTTATTGTTGATTATTATTTCCGAGTATTGAAAGTTTATTTTAAATTCTGGTTGAGCATTGTAAAATAAAATTTTTTATCACATAACATATTTACGTTAAAAGAACATGTTGTAACAAAATTACTTATATAGGCATATTGTAATAAGATTGGAGGTTCTATTGTTTTACTGTCTTAAATATTAGTTTAATGCTGTGAATTTTTTTTCTTTAAAACATTTAAGAAGAATGTTTTAGTGATGCAACTATGAGAATATTATATTATTTTTTTATTATTTTAAGAAGGAGGCTGTAGCTCGTATATTTTTTTTTTTTATTAATCATCTAAGTGAAAAATTTTTAATACTCCTGAGTTTATGTATTTGTAAGTATATTTTAATAAATATAATTTTACGATAATAAATAAATAAAAATAACAAATCTAAATTGAATTGTATATTATCACACATTTTTCGTCTTTTAAACTCGATACCTATATACTTAAAAAATTTTATCTTTTTTTAATAAACTATATAAAAGATCTTCAACAAAAAAATTATACAAATTTTAAAAACAATCTTATATCATAATTATCCTTGGCCTATTGATTGCATTATTGTATATAAACATTTTCCTCACTTATTATTCATTATATATTTGGCATGAATTAGTCTCTTAAATCTCCCACTTAGTTGATCTTTTGTAAATTTAAGTTTTTCCATAAAAATGTAAATAACGAACTTAATACAATAAAAATGAGATTTTCGGCATTATGTGTACTTAAATCAACAATATAAATTTGTATACCTAGCATTAAGTATGTATATACCTAAAGGTAATCATTTATTATACAATATTATCAAATCAATAAAATCATCAATTATTATATTTTTATGATGAAATACAGACTTTATACTTAATGCAGAAATGATTTTATTAAAAAAAAAAATAAAAAAAAAAAAATACTGCATTTAACTTAATATAAAATAAATAATATGTCTTAAATATGTAACTGCAAAGTGTACACGTTTTTTTTAAAAAAAAATCTAAATTTCTTGATGACCATTTCCTTATAATATAAGACTTATATTTTTAAATGAATAATATTTAAAAAATAATGTTGACAAATAGTTCAAAGCCCAAATGTAAGTAAGTTATTATATAATAAATTAAATAAAGTATCTCTTAGGTATAAACTAAAAAATAAATAAAAATAAAATAACATCACATATATAAAGTTGAATAATTATTTCTAAGGGCAGTAAGGAAATTGTACATGTATAAGTTTACCTCTTCAAAACGAAAATTATTAAGCAAATTCGACTAAAATACTAAAATGCTAATAGAACATTGGTGTCAAAAAAAAATTAATTTTTGATTAAAAAAAAAAATTAAATATAATTTTACTGTTTTATAATTAAATATTAAAATTATACAGATGCTTTAATATTTTAATATATTCATTTAAATTTTTTTTTCTTACCAGCTATTGAAATTTACCAGGTTTTTGAGAAAATTTTACTACATCTCAAAAAAATTATGATTTATTTCCTCTCTAAAATAAACAGTGTTTTTGTCGTTTAATTACAACGAATAGTACAATTTAATAAATTATACTCTTCCAGTTTTTCAGTTTATTGTAGTGACAGCCATATTTGAGGGTGTCCCAATATGTTTTGTTACGGTTTCAATGACAGTATTTTTAAATCATAAAGTGAACAACTTGTTTTTGAATTTCGTTGAACAACACTGTGTAACTATAAATGTATTTTTCGTTGAATTTTGTTGAAAACACTAGCAGAAAAAAATACGTCTATGCTGTAAGAATGCATTTGATAGATGACTTTTGTTTATGGGGTAAGTAAGGGAGTGTAAGTTGAAAATAAAGAAAACCTAGGGTATCCAAAAAAGGTCCTTATGGAAATAAATATTTCTTTTACTCTTATAATATACATATTTATATTTTATTTTTATACATATACGTTTTTTTCTCATCCACTGGCGGCTATGGAAAAAGCGCAGGGTCTCGTCATTTCAATACTGCGTGCAAGCTACATGGCTAAGATAATAAAATACCTCTGAATAGAAGATATAAGGAAACTTTTGAACAACTCATCGTCTAAATTTATACTTGTAGATTTTTACACGGAACAAAGATGAATTTTACAGTATAAATATAGCCAAAAATATCTAACACATTTGAATCTCTGCACCTATAGTGAAATTAACTTTTTAACGTGTTTCAATAAATGATTCCCGGACGGATTATTAAATATGATGTGGGTGTGAATTTAAATTGCATAGTCTTGGAAATGAAGAATTTTAAACTAGAAAGTACTTCACCGTCTTTCGCCATAACCTTTCGAGTCACACAAACGCTACTTTAGCTTATAATTTATGTATGGTCCATCTACCATTTTCTTCTGTATCTAATTTATTTACGTGTAAATATATGCATTTTAGTGGAAAATGTTTCCGTCTATATTATCCATTGTTGTCATTACACTCCCGTAAAAGCTAATTCAATTGTAAAAAAATACATTTAATCCATAATTTTATGTCGTATGAATTGTCTACTGTACAAAAATGTCTTCAAAGCAAAAACTTATATTTTAAAACAAAATTAATGATGTTCCCCCGTTATGTTATATTTTCTCAGTACTTAGTTTTTTTCTTTTTATCTTAAAAGGTTGCAATAGTAGAGCATAAAAGATGTGTCAAAATACGTTTACTGTTGTTTAACAAAAGCTTCTTTTTTCCATACTGTACTGACCCTTAAGCCATCACCCTCTTAGCTTACTACCACCGTCTGTCTAGCAATCAACCGTTAATGCCGTCTGATCCTTTAAAAGGATGTGTCCGCAAAGGATGTCGAGGATGGTGTAATATGGTGTAATGGAACCACCAATGTCCTTATTTTTCACTATAGTCTGAGTCCAGGAAGTCATAATGATGGCATGCTTTTATTTTCCTAACATCGAATCGATCTTATTGCTAAAAGGTTAAAATACAATATATACTAAAATCTGAATAAAATGATAATATGATTAAAAACATAAGCAGCCCAGTTTTCAGTTGTAGCATACATTATTGCTGAAATGTTAATAATAAGACTGATATACATACAACTCACATAAAAGTATAGATATTAATAGTCACAGTTTCCTATGAAAAAAAAACTTTGTTATATTTGTAAGTTATAACAAATCTATTACACTCGTTAGATTTCCGTTAGATATAATCTGTGCAGTATGTATATTGATTTATTTCTCTTCAATTTCCGACTTATGACTGAATAGGCATTTTAATATTTTATATTGACCTTAGATAAACTTCTTAAGCTTATGAGATTATGAATAGATAATATGAATTATGTAAATATTTTTGTGAATTGAACACTTAAGCTGATCCATCATAAGAACTGATCATATACTTGTATCGTTTATCACTCTATAAATACAACAATACTATAAATTTAAAAGGAAAATTCAACATTGAACGTAAAATATTGAAATATATTTTACTTTGTTATATCTTTAGTATAATGACAAAATTTGATTGATTATGATGTATATATAAAAATCAAAAAAAAGGTTGTTAAAATTGATATATTATGAAATACATGAAGTGTATAGATTTTTCTTAGATTACAAATTAATTACAATTTAATACACTATAAAATGTAATAATAAGAAAATATGATTAGTTAGAGTAATATCTTTGAAAATAATTTTAAAAAAACAATATAATATATTATCAGTATTTCATTTTAAATATGGTTACAATTTCAAATATAAGCTTAACAATCCTATCATTAATTGATACTTGGTACGATATGTTATCTATTAGTTTAGGTATATAACACTTATATTTATTGGTTTTTAAAATTATTTCGTGAATGAAACCTTATAACCACCTACTACTACCATTTTTACAGTCTGTGCAATTGTTATCTCACGTTGATCTTTGGTCGTTTCCAATTTTCTCTGACAAACAGTCCCATGAGAAATTACTGACGATCTGACCAACTTGAATAGCACTCTGGCATCTTCGATTCGCAGACCATTCTGTGGTATTATACTTGTTTTAAACTGACTTCTTGCCATGAAATCAATATTAAACGAATGCCTTTATACTTTTAGTCTATTTTAAAAAAAAAAAAAAAAAAAATGAGTAATTTTGTATACACATTTTTAAAAATCAAAAATAAACCTTCTAATTATTCATATTTATTGACTGCAGGTAATGAAGTATTTTAAGTATTTTATTTATTTCAAATTTAAATTTTTATAATAATTAAAAATTTAAAAAAAAAAAAGTTTACTTTTAATTTATTTAGTCATTTAAATAAAAATATATAGTTTATACAATTTGCATAATTAATAAGTATTTAGAGATGAATTTTGTTGATTCCTTATTTCATTCCATATTTACGAATATCTTATAAAAAGTAAATTATCGAGTACTCGGTTATTCATTAAATGTATAAATTATACAAAATTCAATATTACTGAATGTATATATTTATGTTTTATCAATGAATAGATAAATACCGTAGAAATGAGTCGATTTCCGAGTATAATTTAAAAGACCGTATAACGGATTTAATAGAGTTTGCGATGATTAGATAACCAATGGACATAAAAAATACAAACACACACATATATATATATACATATATTTTATTAACTTATGTTCACTTGTAAGTAACTCTAAAGTTAAGTTAAGAAAAATATTAATTCTAGTCTTAAAATGTTAAATAATTATTTTCAATTAAGCACTATTGCTCTTATCATGCCACATATTATAAACACGATTTTATAACTTTTAAAATTTATAAATGATAAATTATTATTTTGTTAAAGATCCATTTTTTCATGATAATATATATCTATTGTATAAATATGCATTCATCTTATACAATTGTATACAGTTAATGCATACAGTTGTAGTGCAGTGGACAGGATTCGGGAAATTACACATTTTTTATTAAATCAATTTAAAACGTAACTACTCTATATATCATTTTATTATATATCTGTTTAATATATATAATATATATACCATCGTTGGCTTACATTTTTCGGACTTACAATACGCGTGACATAAATATCCATCGCCCGCGTTGGCGTTTCTTCCACATCGAAACGCAATATAATATGTTGATATTATTATTGTATACCGAAATGTCAGGAAAAACCGGTGACGGTGCTGGCCTGATGGTTATATATTATATTATATTATATAATATCGTTCAATAATGTCTGCAGAGACTGTCATTTATATATGTGTGTGTGTGTGTGCGTGTGTGTGTAAAATAATGTATGTTATTATATGGACGCTGTTTTTTTGGTTTTTCAGTATACACACGCTGGGACAGCAAGAAAACGAAAGGAAAAAATAAAGTATATAATATACGAGTCGACACCGCACAGCCATGCAGCGCAGAGGGGCTCGTGATTTTTCCATCGTCTTGGCCGTATTCGCCGCTTGTTTTATCGGCCAACTGACGCTCGGCATCCACACAAGTAAGTCGTATATAACAATATATTATATCGGTACACCTCACCATCATCGTAGCAGAACGGTATATATAAAGCCGTGAGAGAAAAACGATCTGAGTCCATCTGGCGAGAGATCGTCATCATTCCCCGCTCGCATTATTTGCCGCGACCGTTGCCGTCGCTGTCGTCGTCGCCGGCTGTTGGCCACCCCTTTGCTCACTCGCTCTCTCTTTTTCTAACCATTTCGCTCACCTCTCAGTATAGGTTAATAACGAAACAATAAAAACTTTTCTCGTGCAAGTGTGTAGTGTCGGTGGGTAGGTGAGCGTATGGAGAGAGGGTGGATTTTTCACGTCCAAACACGCCCGCGGACGATCGTTGTCCGCACACTTTACCCTTGGCCCACAGTTCCGGAAATCCGATTTTGGGGTCGGTTGGTAGGTGGTGACGTTTTAGCAGATTCCTCATCTCCCCTTCCTAGAATAATAAAGCCGTTTTGCTCCCGTAACCATTAAATTCAAAGTGCATCGTCGCAGCCACTGTGGCGCAAAATATCGTATAACGTTCTGTATACGTTTTCTCAATCGTTTCGATTATGTTTTTTGGTAGTCACTCGGTGTGTATCTTATGTTATATAATACCTAGGTACACCAGCCGTCTGGGGGATACAGCGTGATTTTGGGGAGTATTTGTTTCGTTTTGTCTTAGAAATGATCAATATTTGTATGGTAAGTTAGTTGAAATATTGTGATTTTAATATAAACAAACCAAATTGCATAGAGGTAATAATAAAAAAAAAAAAAAAAGTGTTCTAATAACACATCATATCAAATTATATTAACTTAATGATGATCATTTTCAAATATTTAGGACAAATACTTTTTATAGCTTTTAATTATATTCTTTAATACTTGTGTATTTAAAATTGTTTGTGGTATTATAAATGTATTATTATTTTAAATATTTTTAAAATGTATAAATCATATCACAATTAGTTTGTTTTTTCTAGTTTGATACCTATAAACTCTAAAATTGTGATGTACTCGTAAAACAATTATTACTGTATCAAAAACTATAATTTATTTTATATGACAAACGTTTCTCTTCAGTTCATTAATTGTTTGTAGATTACGAGTAGAGAGACAAATGAATTGTTCAGAGTTTATGCAATTGTCTTTCGAAACAAAATTCTATGTTACTCTTTTCAAAAAAAAAATATTTCGTATTATTCATGTGTATTACGAATATTATTGAAGCGAATGAAACGAATGATGAAGGTATTGGTATTATACTTACGTTACCGATGTGACGGTTGTATTTGATTAAATATTTTTTACTCAAACGATAGAAATGTTAATCTGACGTGATCGGAAAACTGTAGTGATGATCGGCGGAGCGATAAAAAAAAGAAAATTGTTCAAACAATGGTATTCTCAATAAGTCGGTTTGTTAATTATTTAAAACACCCCAGAACGAGGCGAAAGACTACGGAGGATGATTGTCTGGGAGGACAAAAATTTCAAATAATAATAAGCTTATAACTCTTTGTCAGGATTAAAATTAGGGTTCTTCGAAGGGTCGTGTTCCGAACGGACACACACACACACACACACGTATATTGTAGTCACACATAATGGATTTCCGCAAACACAAGTTCGTTTCTGATTATACGTACGTGCATACATGAATGTATATATATATGTGTGTACTGCAGGAGCACACTGTTATGTTTCGCCGCGTTTTATATAATCACCGGGCGGTCTTTGAATAATTTAACTGACTGTGTTATAAAGGCCACGAAATATACAAGAATCCGTTAATCTAATCATATAAGAGGATTTCGGATTATACGAAACGTACGCGGACGTGTGTATATTATATTGTTTTTAAGTCTAGGAAAGAGTAAGGAGCGGGGGAACATATGTAAATGGACACAGAGATGATGGTGGGGTTTTATTTACAAAGTATATAAAAAAAAACCAAGGGCCCTTTACTTTTATTATGCGTATGAGACATAATGAAATATATGATGGAAAAAAATGTATACATTATGCACTCGCTTTATTTGCCACGTGAGTACTTTTTCACGCGCTTTCCTTCCTGCGGGGCACGACAGTAGTAGATGGGTGGAAAAAAAGGCTGAGAGAAAATCCCTTCAGTTGCAGCTGGACGTTCAAAAGCGACTCTGTGTGTGAGGGATGAAAAACACTGCTTCAGAAGCAGTGGTGTTGTTGGTGATGGTTAGGGTGGCAGCGGTAGAAGCATAACGGCAATGGCAGTATTAGTATTGGTTAGGGTATTCAGTGCAGTTTTGTAAACGGTTTTTCACAAATTTAACGTTAAAAATGGTTTATGGTGTACACTGGTCGTTATAGTTTTTTTTTTTTCACTATTATTATTTCAATTATTATTATTATTATCTTAAACGAAAAATACATATTGGGTTTATTGATGAACTCAATAATTCACCACGTAGGTAATTGAATTAACCACTCGACTCTAAAGGGCCCTGTGACACATGACCCGAAAAAATATCTGTGAGTGGATGGATGAGGAGAGAGTGGACGCCAAAGTGCTTTATCTTAATAGTTTTCTGTCACCCTCGAACATTGTGTCAACTTACTGATAGTAGCTCCGCACAACCATTATGCTAACGCTTTCTCTGTCAACATAAAAACGCTCAAAAAAAGTAAATTTTTCCAACAAAGATTTTTAAAGTAAAAAACTCTGCTAAAACTTTTAGTTTTTAATTTTTCCAATTTATTGAACCGCGAAATTTGAGTGAGAAGTCGAGTGCAGATGTTGTAACATTTACTAATTAAGAATGGGGTAGTTGACTAGTATAAAAAAATGACACAAAACATATTATTATCTTATGGTTCTAAAGATTTTTCATATCCTAGTCATATAGTTGATGTCTTTTTTTGTTATGAACATATATTTATTAGATTCTGAACCGAGTAATTTGATTTTATGATAATATGAGGTTATTTAAATTTTATTTTTATGTTTGCAATCACTTTTTGTAATAGTAAAAATTCTTCAACTTTTTAATTTAAAGGTAGTTTTTAATTAAAAAAAAATAATTTAGTTGATAAATGGAGAAAGGGGACCTAAATTAAAAAATTCCTAGTATTTTTACCCATTCTCCGCAATTTTTACACAAAATTGTTTCGATAAAATTGTGTTGGAATTAAAAATTAAATAAAAACAATTATTTTTTATAGGTATTTGATGTTTGAATTTAGAAAAAATTACATTTTTGAACGATAAATAATAATGTTAATTATTCTATTATAATACAAAAACATTATTCGTGGGGATTTAATTTTTTGACGTAGGTATAATATGAATTTTACTAAGCGTAATGATTTTTTCAATGTACATAAACTAATTTATAAATAACACGTATTTATACCCTTTCACTTTTTTTGATAAAATAATATTAAATTAAAAATGAATAACAATAATATAATAATATAGTATAAGTATACATCATAATTATAATAAAGTATTAATAATAAAATTAGTGGAATATTTTTGGCGAAAATCAAATCAATTTACTGTAACATTAATAGTAGTAAAATAAGTTTTTATTTAAATAATAACAAAAACATTTCATGACATTTATTGTGATATAAGCTCATCATTATATCTATCGTTCCTGTTCAAAATTATTTTTCGTATACATTGATATTTTATTGAATTAAAGTTTAAGACTCCATTACAGCAGCTTGCTTAACGTCTACTGTAAAGCAGCGTGGTACCCACTTGCCAAACCTTTTTAAACTGTAATACAGCTTTTTTTTTAGATTCCGAATAAAATTATAAACGTATATTACTATATTTACAATTATGAGTATTATTTTTAACCTTCATCGGATTTTAGAGTAATAATATTCCATTTGTCAACTTTAAAGTAATTTCCTTTAGCTAATTGAATTTAATTGATGTTTTTAGAGAATTGTAATCAAAGAATTTCCAATAATTATTTATCTGAATAACTGTGAGAAGTTAAAAATAATTAAAAAAAAAAAATTTTTGGCTACATAAGTTTTTGATTAAATTTATTTAATCATTTATTTATATTTTCTTTTTTAATTCAAAAAGGAAGAACCGTAATTAATAATATTCAATAAAAATGTTACATTTTCCTTGATATGATATAAATTTAAAAATAATTTGGTTTTTATTAGCTATTTATAGATATTTTCATGAGATATTTATACAATTTTAGACACACTTATAAAAAAATATTATTTATTTTATTCAAGGGAGGCGCAATTAATTTTTATTTTTGGGGATATGTAAACCAAAAAAAAATCTGGGAACCGCGGCGAAAAGTACTGATTTACGCAGCACACTACATAGGTATAGTTCATTGAGTTACTTATAGATACCAAAAATCAATTTCAAACAATGGATCAATGTTGCCTTTATCGATACATTATACGTTATAACATTATGTAAAGTCAGATTATGGAACAGCATACAAGAACAAGACATGGTCTAAACGTATTGACTTACCTACATAATATATCTGATGAAAATATACACATAATTTTTTTTTTTTTTTTAATTGTAAAAATATAATTCATCTTTATGTTAATGCATTTAAACACTGCACATAACATAAATATTTAATAACATTCAATAATTACATAAAATCATAGGTTATAATCATTAAGTATTATAAATTCATAATTTTTCCGAATAAATAATTATTGATTAGTCTAACAATTTACAATTTTTCAGTGTATTTTTTTCAGATCGGTCCTTAAATGCCTCATTTTTTTTATTTTTAACTAAGTTTATCTGAAAAAATTATTTGAAATATTACAATGTTTTTTATTATTCTTAAAAAAAAAGAAGAAGAATCACCTTGTATTAAAAAGATATGCTATCGAAAAACAAGATGAAAAAATAAACGTAGTTTTATATTATATATATTATATGGGTGGGTGTGTGTGTTTCTATACATCATGATTTTCTTTAGTAAGAGTATTTATTCAAAAAAAAAAAAA